CAGTGCCATAAGTGCCACGCCTGCCACGCAAAGTGACGATCCATGTCGCCAAGTGCCACGCCTGGTTGTGTGTGAGCAAGTTGTGTGTGGACAAGTTGTGTGAGGACAAGTTATGTGTGAGCAAGTTGTGTGTGGACAAGTTGTGTGTGAGCGCAAGTTGTGTGTGGACAAGTTGTGTGAGAGCAAGTTGTGTGATGACAAGATGTGTGAGGACAAGTTGTGTGAGGACAAGTTCTGTGTGGGCAAGTTGTGCGTGAGCAAGTTGTGTTGGAAGGTGTGGAGGCGGACGACGGGAGGCAGACGTGTGTGCGCAAGTTGTGTGATGACAGGATGGGTGAGGACAAGTTGTGTGTGGACAAGTTGTGTGATGAAAAGATGTGTGAGGACAAGTTGTGTGAGGACAAGTTGTGTGAGGACAAGTTGTGTGTGGACAAGTTATGTGATGACAAGATGTGTGAGGACAAGTTGTGTGAGGACAAGTTGTGTGTGAGCAAGTTGTGTTGGAAGGTGTGGAGGCGGACGACGGGAGGCGGACGGGCGGACGGAAGGCGGACGGGCGGACGGCGGGATACAGAACCAAAAACAAGAACCCCACACAAAGATGCGGGGAAAAACTGAGGTAAAATTGCGATTTTGAGGTATCCATCGAAACCTTTTCGCACGAAATGGACGTTGGACGTCAAAAACTGCGGTAAAATTGCGATTTTGAGGTATCCCTCGCAACCCTTTCGCACGAAATGGACGTTGGACGTCGAAAACTGAGGTAACATGGCGATTTTAGTTAGTCCGCTGCAACCGTTTCGCACGAAATGGACGTTGGACGTCAAGAACTGAGGTAAAATTGCGATTTTGAGGTATCCGCCGCAACCCTTTCGCATAAAATGGACGTTGGACGTCAAAAACTGAGGTAAAATTGCGATTTTGGAGCGGATGCAGAGATGCATTCAACGCAATATTGTCGACATCTTTCTTCTGTGGATACAGTCTTGTGTTCATTCTTTGGGGATTGTTGTTTTGTGATTGTTCCACGTTCTGTAGGGACTTGGTGGATGACGAGATGTTCCGCGGACATGGAATGATGAGTCGTTCTGTCCGGGATGTTCCGTGGACATGGAATGGTTGGATTGGAAATTGATTTCTGTCTTCTGTTGAAGTGGTATGTGACTGCGAGGATTGATTTGTGTTTAGTTGGATCATAGAGTCCCGTGGGATTCAAACATGGAGTTTTTGCAACCGCGTTCTCTGTGCGAGCGGCATTCAACGAGATGTTGAAGCGAATCGTTTGGTCGGAGCCTCAAGTGGATGCAGAGATTCATTTAAAGCAATACTGCCGACATCATCCGACATCTTTCTTCTGTAGATATGGTCTTGCATTCATTCTTTGGAGATTGTGTTTTGTGATTGTTCCATGTTCTGTAGGGGCTGTCCGTGGACATGGAACGGTTGCATTGAAAATTGAGTTCTGGTTTCTGTTGGGGTGGCATGTGACTGCAAGGATTGATTTGTGTTTAGCATGGTAATACCGAACTTTTGGACATCGGCTGAGGATGGATGATTGATAGCACCCGCGCTAGAAATGTGTGGAGCTCGGTTGCTTTAGTTGAAGTGAGAGTGATGATGGCATTCACGATGGCCATTGGTGAAACTTTGTTTGTGTTGCATGGAGTGAAAGTGGATTGCACGGTGGAGAACATGGGATTGCACGGTGGAGAACATGGAAATGACAAGGATTGTCGGTGAACATGCTTGCTAGTGAGCATTATCTGCATGCAAAGTGTTTGGTTCAAGTTGCGCACTCGTGACACTTTTGAAAGCATCGTGGTTACTGTTTCATTTTCTGAAGGGACTGTCCGTGAGAATGGAGCAGGCGACTGCGTCGTCCAATGCCCTGGAAATTCGGTTGCAGGAGCTGCGTAGCAATACTGCGACCAGGGGCCGTGAATGGCTCCAGGGTGCCCTGGAAGAAATTTCCGTGCTGGAGCTTCGCAAAATGGCAAGTGCTCGGAATGTGGGCCGTGGACCGGACAAGAAGCGGCTCTCAACCACGGTCTGGAAACATGTCCTTGCAAGAAGTGACTCTGGACCGCATTACGAAGAGCAACACCCACATGGTCATGGTGGTCTTGCGTCCGGTGTACCATTGAAGCAGTTGCCCGGAAAAGACATGGACTCTATGCAGAGATCCGGGGAATCTTCTGAGAGCAGTGTTCGAAAGCGGGCCCAAGAGTTTTACCAGCCCGATTTCATCCAATTAACGCAAGCTGTTGTAGTGCAGAATTCGCCTTTTTTGTGCGGTTTCTCTGCTGATGTCACGAACAAGGGGAAGGTGTCGCCAGTGGCAGCGGCTCATACCAGTGCGATGAAGTTGCGCGGCCTTTTCCGCACCGCGAGGTCCAACTTTGGTGCGTTGACAGAACATTCCCAAGGAAAAGAGAGGGTGGATGTCATTGGAAAGGTAACCCAGAAGGAGAGGCCAGCGATGAGAGTCCAAAAGATGACATTGTGGCTGAAGGATGAGTCCTCGCAGGAACTGGCTGTGCATCTCTGGGGAGGGCGTTTTGTTTCCAAGGGCAACGAAATCGATGTTGGCTCAGTGGTACAGGTGGGCAATGCTTTGTTGTCGAAGATCCCCGCCGGCGAGCTGTGAGCACTGGATGGATAGCAGCAGGAATTGGCTCAGTGCTTTGTCTGTCAATCCCACAGGCCGCCGCTTCGAGAAACTGAAGGCTTTGTCTGACAGGCGGGGGGAGGCGCTGTCTACGCCTTGGCTCCAGACTGCTGCACGTCGAATGGTGTCGGATGGCATGAAGAAGTTCATTCCGTGCTGCGCCACTGTATCTTCGTGCTCTTTGGCGCTTACCGGTGCGATGTTAGAGGCCGCTGTGCCGAGCTGAACTAGATCGTAATCAACTAAATTAGTCCATGTGATTGGGCGGCCTTCTTTGTTGAGTGCTTGTCGTGCTTTCTCTTTGTTTCATTTTCTGGTGTCAGGCACAGCAAGATATAATCGAAGTGCAGTTGAATTGCGTTTTGGTCACAGGCATCTTGGGGGATCCCATCTACACGGCATGCAAGAATTGCGGGACGAAGGTTGATTTGACCACTGGGCATTGCAAACGTCATGAAAGTCACAACTGCCAAACGATCCGGGAGGAAGAAGTATCCATCTTGGCCACAGTGACTTTGGAAGTGACTTTGGCAGATCACACCGGCGAAGTTGAGAGAGTCTTGGTGGATGGGGAGAGGTTGCAGTTGCTGGCAAATGCCAAGAGCAAGGAGGATCTGCTCGCCCTCTTGACGAAGCGTGGTCCGCAGGCCGTGTGCTTTTGTCACCCGGTGGACGTCCGCTTGGCTACCAATGGCCGCAAGCCAGGCGGCGGCAGATCCAACGTGCCAGCTGCCACGCAAGGAGTCCTCCAGTCGCGGAGGCGGATTTGCCTGAGTGTCAGTTTCAGGTGCTTGCTTGTCAGGCGGCTCTGTGCCAGAAGTATTCGGAGGCAAGTCGTCCAATGATCAAGAAGGTCGTGCGAGTGGAGAATCAGAGGGCGACAGGAATGGTGTTCCAACATAGGTTGAAAGGAAGGATAGGATGTCCTATGTGGCTGGTGGCCCGATAGGATGCCAGGGTCGGATAGGATGTCTTGAGCCTAAAGGGGTTGGCAGTATAGCCGAAGGGCTTTAAAAGTAACAAATGCTACAAACATGTAATATCTTTCGGCTTCCACCCACGCATTTCTGCAGCGGTGCATCTTTTTCACATTTCCTTTCCAAGCTCATGCCATAAAGCTAGGCTCGACCCAGCGTAAGCAGACTGCCAGGCAATACTTTTGCAAGCCACGGAGGCTAAAAGTACGGGGGTGCGCATTCAAAAGCATCGATTTCACCTCGAGGCCATGCCAAGACTTCAAAAGAAAAAAGACCAGCAACGTTGAGTGGGGGAAAAAAGTAGTAGGGCTTTATATATAATGCCAGGGCACACGCCGCATCATGTCCTCGTCCAACATGCAACTGAAGTGACGAGGATTTCCATGCACATACATGTGGTCATATATCCTGAGATAGCAGTGTGCCCGCGCCAGCAATGCGTATCACCAACACTTACAAGCATATATAGTCATATATATATATATAAATAAATTTCATCATATATTATATATATAACCAAATAATATATATAATCATATATATATAATTATATATATAAATATTATGGACAAAGATTGTTGCATACATGTAGGAATTACAAATGTGTAAATATAATATATAAATAAAATATATTGAACACAAATAAGGTTGTTTACTAAAGTGCGCATCGAAACCGATACAAAACGTACCAAACAAGAACTTCAAAAACACCAAGGAACATATGTTCGAGCGAATGCTGTTTTGGTCTGAACGGAAAGAGAAGCCGGGACTCGTGCAAAGCCCAAGCAGCAATTCCTAAGTTGAAACAAGTTTTTTTTTGGAACATGTTGGAACCATTGTGCATATATAGCAGCCTAGTGGCGATCATACGTTTCTCGATACTGTTCATAGTTTTGTTCCACCAGCTGTAGCTGTTCTTTGAACGCATCACGGATCCACCTATCAGGGGTTGTCGTTTGAAAATACTTCCAAAACATCGAAACTTATATGTTTGAAAAAACAACCGCAAAACCAAAACCTATATGACAGGGCGTCTTTGGGATCAAACAGAAAAAACATTTGGCAACCCGATACTTGTGAATGTCAGATATATGCTCCCGATAGATCTCATCCGCCATCTCAGTTGCAAAATAGATAAGGAGGCGAGAAGCAGCACCGCTAAGTTTTTTTTGTCCTATGCTCGGGTAGGCAGTGGTCTTCGGCTGCAAGTTTTTTTGCAAGAAGAGAATCTGTCGAGCTCTGCATCCATGAGGTATACCTCAGTAGGTTGTTTCTATCGACCCCAACTTGATTGATACAAACCCACCACAAAAATGGCAGTTGGAATTTTGAAATAAATGTCAACTAAACCTGGTTTAGGGACCAGTTTCCCGACACCATGTGACGTACTTGAAGTACAATTTTTCTAAGCGCGCATCACGGGAATTCCCTGCAAAGATGTTGGCCTCACATGCAAACGGGACAAATTGTAATATGTATACATTATTTATTTATATATAGAATATATATATATGTATGTATGTACATAACATTCAGAATACAAATGCCAACCCAACATCCAAACATACATTTCAAATGGTTTTCTCATATGGGCGCCACGTCACTCGATCGGTCCAAACCATGAAGCTGCCAGCGAACAAATCGGGATATATTGCAAGGTCGCAGATGTGCAACAGATCTGGTAGAATTCCTGAGTATACATGCATGTGGCAGTTCAACATGTTTGCAGCTATGCTAAACACATCACATCTAAAAACCAAGATTCTCCAGTGGTCGAAGGATGGAACTCTGGTGAACGGTGTTTCTCCATTAACTGTAATGAAGTCATTGAAATCGTAGAACCTCAGTGCATTAATAGTCACAAAACAACTAAAAAAACAACTGCTCAGATGGCCGCAATGGAACTGCATGACTGGACCCACTGGATGCTGCAAAGTGGCTCTTGGCGATAGCTTGCACCTCGGCCCCAGTGAGAATAGAGGTCGGGGTGGTCTTCGCTGTGATCAGCGCCCGCATAGGCCAAAGCTCGACACAAGAAGCAGCATTCTTTGTGTCGATAACTTCCTTGGTTTCCAGGTCTTTGTGAATTGTTTTGAACGTCTTTTGTTCTGAATGTTTTTTGGATTTTGTTGGATTCATTTTCCCAAATTCTATTGAATTGAGATTCGGTTCAGGGAAAAAAGAGCAGCGATGAAGTCTTGATCACCCTGAAACCCATCAAGCACAAATTTCCAACCGCCAGCAATAAGAGTTCCAGCCATTTCAGCCCGCTTGGGCTCGTAGCTCGCTCCAAACTCTGCACCCCATGGGTCACGACTGGGATGAACACCTTGTCCTTAGATGTCACAAAAAATCCACTTATCCATGCAGAACCCAACACATATAAAAAAGTGGTAACTTAACCCAATCTTTAAAAATTGCCAAATAAAAATGCATACCCCCAAGAATCACAAACACATGTGCAAGGGTCGTAGGCAGCAAAGACTCCATGCAATCACTTCACTAATCTTGGTCCTGGCACTTGATGCAGTGGAAACTGTGTTTCTGATCGATACCAAAATTCTTGTATCCATCGTTGAAGAAGACCCAGACAAGCAAGGCAAAAGTGTGATCGCTTCAAAGCTTTGGTTGCGATGGCTATCAGCACCATCTCCATAAACTCGGTAGGGGATCGCCATGTCCAAGCTCAAATCCGAACATGTTTCGGCTAAGTCCGGATTTTTTCCCAGAAGGTTTGTAGTTCCTGATCTCGAGGCAACACTGGAGAAGACACAACAGCAACAAAATTGTTGAACATGGATTGGATGGTAATTGCATACAAGACTCTCCTGGCACCCCAACCCATGTTTTGAAGAAGTGCTCACCTCCATTGAAGTTGTACATGGACGCTGCGATGTCGTGAGGTAGCAATACATATTGCTGCACTGGCAACGGAGCACCAATCCGTCGGGCATATCTTTCTCGCACCTCGGCAGCAGGCTTGCAAGATGCTGAGATTTAGTTTTCATTGATCGAAGCTGTAGATTTAGTTTGCATTGATCAAACGCCTATATATCCAAGTCACAGGAGCTGGAGATACTTCAAACCTGGGGTGAAACATGTTTCATATCGATAACATGATTGCACATGTATGCACATAAAGTTGCAAAGCACACTGCAAACATTTTTTGCTGACATGAAGCTGGAAGTATTGCACGGGCATCAGCTGCCTCCACGTTTGTTTTTCCACCCACGCATTGAAGGTTCTTTCCAGGCCCCAATCACCACCACATTCGAATCGGTTGTGCAAGTCTAGCACTTCCAGACTCAGTTGCCATGAAAGAACTATCAAGGGAAAGGCAAAATCAATGTGAGAGAAAACCATGTGTTTGGTGGATGAAAGGTGTGCCAACTGATTTGCAACCAAGGATCGGAATAAGGCTATGGTCAAATCTGCAAAGCTTTGCGACCAAATCCCGAATTGCCGGGACTCTTGCCTGCAAGCAGGAATTTCGTTTGCCCATGTATAATTTGCAAAAGGTTTGGGTTTCTAAACGCATGTTGCATGTCTTTGCAACCCAGAAACATTGCCATTAGATAGTTTCTCAAGAAGCTCCTCCACCAATTCAGCCACCACAGATTGATGGCTGTGAAGACGTCGCCTGCAAAAACACCAAACAAAAATAGTATTCATTGGACATGCATTTGCAAGTGTCATAAGCGTGCATTGGATATTCAATTCATGCAGGCTTCCAAGGCATGCTGATTTTTTTTTCCCCAGCTGACCTGTAGCACTCCCATCTTGTCGATAGGCTCTGCACCATCTAAAGCTAACTAGGCTAACGTGTGGATTTTTTGCGGCACACGATCCTAGACAGCTAAAACCCCAGGTCGTATCTTCTTTGAAGATTTTCCCTTAGCCACACCATTGCGAACCATACCAGCCATCCCATTCTTCATCATTATATGCATCTCCTTCATCCCATGGCTCCCCATCGAGCTCATCCTCCTCCCAGTATTCATCTTCTTCTTCATCCTCTGGATCGAGTTCAGTTGCATTAGAGCCCGGGGAAAGCTTCTTGCTCTTCGCCTGCTGCTCTTTTTTCTTCTTTCGTTCCCGACCTTGGCAGCGATAAAAAACGATCGCACAGTTTTAAGGTTTCAGGACAAGAACAGTTTCAGTCCAAATGTGATTGAATGATAAAGTTTCAAAAACAGTTCAATTTCAGCGCAAAGACATGTATGAATTGAGTTGCAAACGAGACTTCCAGCCACGGATGGTTGACTGCGCATTCTCCAGATCATCAAGTGCTTCCTGTAAATTTGGAGCGCCAGAGGAAATTAAAATACATGGAATCAGCACCAAAGTGAACCGGCCTCGATTTTCTTTTCATATCCTTCCTTGATCTCCTTGATCTTCTCAACGCTGTAGTGCTTGAAGATGCCCTCTTCCATCCTGGTTTGGACAGATTTGGAAATATGTTGACAAGATTTGACAAGGGTTCACATGAACGATTGGGATTATATTCAAGCAACGCAAAAACTAGAGTCCTCTCAGCCACATCTCGCAACAACGTGTGCCGCTTCTGCAAATTTTCAGCCATGGCCTGCAAACAACAATGAGTTGACCGATTGAGTGCGAAGGGTTGCAAAAACAGTTGAGCCAAGGAACCTGCTGGTGAGGAATCTGGAGCTCATTCAATTGCACCGCAAGCTCCCTGGCTTTGGAACTTTTTTCGCGCAACCTCGATGAGCATTGGGATACATAGGGGATAAATAGGGGATATATACAGTCAGTGCATGTGTGTGTGTGTCTGCAATCATCCATGTAGAAAACAAAAACAAATAGTGACACATTATGTTGGATGCGCAGCCATGTGGTTGAGTCTATTTTTGCTAAGAAACGCTTTGATATCTTTCTGGAGTTCCTTGTTTGCCTTGTCAGCCTCGCCTTGGCCCTTCTTTTGGGACGCCGCTTTGGCTTTCGCTTTGGCCTTTGCCTTTGCTTTGGGGGTTTGCATGGATGACTTCAGATTTGCCAAGCCATTGTCAAGCATTTCACCAATGGCTTTCTTTCCTGTTTCACTGTCAACATGTCCACGTGCACTCACACGCGTCTTTGCTTGTGCAGCTTCTCCACCTGCAGCGTTGCATGCACATCAATTCTTTGAAAACGGTTTGGAATACAGGCTGCGACATACACAAATCAATGTTTTGATGCAGGTTGACTCCCTCTGACCTTTGAATATGAAGTTGCGGTTAGACCAAGCCACTCTTGTGCTTATTCTTGCGGTAGACTTTGTAGACTCTGAAGCGGTCATCATCAGGAAACTCAGTTGATATGTTAATCAATTTGACCACAGTTGACAGCATGCTCAACATATAGACAGGCACAACGCAATATGAAATTCAGCTGAGGATCCTGGGCATGTGCAACTCCAGCCTGGCCTTATTGGAAGATTGGCCGATGTGAGCAGCATCAGCGAAGCACTTTTTGGTAGCTGGGTTGCAAACTTGCTTTGATTTTCTCGATGTAGGCCCTTGGATGGTGCAACATGCAAACTGAAAAACCAAAGAGGAGAAATGAACAACTTGAGAACGAAGAAGGTAAGTAGGTGCCAGCAAGATTCTTTCCAGCTTCAGTGCCTCCCCATTTTTGCTCGATTTCGAAAAGCGGGAGCTCCTCATAGATCTCATGCCTGCTGGATTCTGCCAGCCTGAAATGCATCCAGTGTGCAGTCAAATTAGGAAGGAAATGGAAGGAAGGATCAGAAACGCACATTGAGGCAAAACAATTGATCCGACTTGAGTGGCAGGCTGAATGTACTCAGCTTCAACTTCAAGATCTTTCCTCGAATTCGAGCCAGTTGAAATCACACATGAAATTGTTGTAAAATTCATGCATTTTGCACCTCAAAATGTGACAAGGAACAAAACACAAGGAGAAACAAACGCAGTCAAGGTTCATGTCTTTGTCGCACATGAATGCTTTGAGCATCTCCCAGCGTAGGTTTGAGTTTCCCTGACATTGTTGGTACTTCTCTAGTAAGCCGGGCTTTAAGCCAGCTGGCTTCTCAAAACGACGGCCCATGGCATTGTACCAAGACCTTCGTTCCTTCAAAGGAACATCTCGCTGACACAGACTTTGAATTTTCTCTTTGGCATCATCACTTAGGTGTCCCACCTCAGATCTCGATGTGGGCAACTGCTACTGACCATTGATTCGCTATTCGACAGCTATATGTATACAATTTACATCAAGTTACATAATGCACACCTATGTATACATAAATATATATATACATAATTAGATATATATATATATACATTCAATATATCTGTCACATCATATATACACATATATACACATCATATGTCGATAGACGGTTGCACAGATTTCTTTTAGATCCAAGATACTCGAACCATGCGACCATCCGGAGACATAGTAGCCAATTTGGGAATCTGCAGATTGAAGCAGCAACTGAGGATAGTGGATCGAATGGTGGGCAACATGATCTCGATGCAATCTTTGGCATATGCTGCAAATATCTGGCCTGAACCGGCGTTCCAGATCCAGTCTGAAGGCAGGGCAGCACAGATCAATGCACAAAAATGTCAATCTCAAAAGTTGTTGACTATTATAGTGGACGGATGTGGACAGCAACGTTAAGATTGATCCAAGTCACACTGACTGCAGATAAGCTCCGCTGCAACCTTAAAAAGTTTGTGAGGAAAGAAAAGGCACCAAAACGATAATGATAGAAACTGTCCATCTGGACACATAACAACTCAGTGAACCAATTTTTAAGCATTGAACTCTGAAGACCTTGAAGTCCCCGAAGAACCAGGTGAAGCAGGTTTGGTTGTCGGACGGTCCGGAGTCACATGCCTGCTATCCAATGACTCCTCGGAGGTCTTGGTTCTCAAGCGGACCAAGGGATGCCCAACTTTCCCCTGCATTTTCTTCGGTTTCTCGGGTTCCTCTGTCCAAGTGGCCTTCGAAGGTTTCTTCTTCAAATTGGCTTCTTCTTCTCCTTCATCACCACACTCCTCGAATGCTTTTGTAGGTACCCTAAGTGCACGCGCCATGTCATTCTTCCTTTTCTTTTTGTCTGCAGCCGAAATTTCAGGTGCACTTTCATCTTTGTCCTCAGCTTCCGGAGTGCCATCCGAAGGTTCTTTTGCTCTCTTACTTTTCTTCTTCACCGTCAACGGCTCTTCATTTCCTTCTTCATTGTTGTTTTTGTTCTTTCTCTTTTTCGCTGCATTGGCTTCTTCTCCATTCTTGTCTTCAGCTCCATTCTTGCCTGTGTTCTTTCCTTTCCGTTCTTCAGTTCCTTCTCCAGTATTGTCATTGTTCTTCTTCACTTCTTCATCATTCTTATTTTTCTTCTTCTTCTTCGGTTCACATTCTTCTCCACTTAAGTCTTTCTTCTTTTCCTTCGGTTCATCCTCGCTTTTCTTCAGGCTTTCCGGCGCAGCAGCTTCTTTGGCTTTGCCAGACTTGAACCTTTTACCCACGGACAGCTTTCCCGCAAGTTCCTGGTTCTCTCCCTCTTCATGAGCATCCTCTACGGCAAGCTTGCCATTTCCTTTGCTAGCGCCACTAGGAGTAGATCCCTTTCCTTTTCCTTTTCGAACTCCTTTGGCATGAGCCAGCCATGCCATTGCCATTGCTTTACCTTTTGATCTCGCCTTCCCTTCAAGCTCCTCGGCCCTTTGGGTTTCTTTGCTTTTCTTCCGCTCCTTAGTATCGAGAATGTCTAGCCTTGGGAACCCTGAAGGATTGACAATTGAAACGCCGATTTGGATTGGAAAATGTTTTTTTTTGCCAGCAAGAATCCATGACCAGCAGGTCCGCCGGTCAAAACAGGGAGTTGTTGTGCCCAAATGGCTAAAGTAAGGATGAAAATTCTGGAAGGAAAGTGCGCAAACTTGAGACCACCCCGTGACACGGAATGACACGCAGAAAGTACATCCTATCATTCCCCTGACACGGAATGACACGAAGTGACACGGGCTCCCAAAAGTCACAACTTTGACAAACAAATCCAAATTTCAGCAAAAAATAACCAAACATGTCTTGTCATTTCGTGTCATGCCGTGTCATTTCGTGTCATTTCGTGTCATTCCGTGTCATCTCGTGTCATTTCGTGTCATATCATGTCACTTCGAGGTTTCTCCTTTGTGGTTTATAGATACCAATTTGGGGGTTGCGTTGAATTGATCCCGGATCCACGCCTCTTTGCTTCCCCTTGCACTGATATGCAGGCCAGAGAGATCGACCGAGCCACCTGCCAGCAATATGGGCTGGGAAATGGACCGGAATGAAATCAAATGCCACGTGCAGAAGCTCAGGGAGCAGCTCACCCAACAAAGATATCAAAGTTTTCCGGGGCATGTCACTGTCTCAATCCAGCGCTTTTTTTTGGCATCCGTATATAGATCTGTAAATCTGGATCCCTGTGCTCGGGCGATCAAGTTGGTGGCTTGTGCACCAGTCGCAGCAGCATTGAATCTTTCACATATATATATATATATGCATATAATCATTTACCATATATAGAAATATGACAAAGCACTATGATCTCCTGACATGCAGTATGTTCAAACTGAATCGGCATGCGATCACATGAGAGATGATTGTGAAGGTTCCTAAAGTTTGCTCAAGATTCTGAAGCTGTAGCGACGAGGTCTCCCATCTCCGAATCGGAGCTCAGTGGGGAACAGTCTTTAAACGTCAGACCCTGATCACTGAGGACCCTAGGCTTCATGCCCTTGATGTGGCTCATTTGCAATCCTGCCACCTTGGAATCCATGGGAATTCGAAGTTGCAACTTGGCCAAACGCAGCGACAACCGTATCAAGATGTAATCACAGGATATATTTTTTAACAAGTGGCTTTGTAGGCGAAGCACATAGGGTAGACCTGGGACTGGCGTAGAGCAGCCTTGTTCCCAACCTGAGTTCGAGAGAGCATTGCAGTACACACCAAGTGCATTAATCAAACTTTTTGGGCAATTTTGTGGGTGTCCTTTTCTTAGCTGTTTTGAGTGTGAAAAAGGCGAAAAAAGGACACCACCAAAAATGGACCATCAAGCCACCACCGCACTGTACACCACATCAAGCATTATTGAATCCAAGTTGCCACACGCGTGCGCCCACTGGAATCTTTGTAGCGTCGGACCAGCTTCGCACTGTATTTGGCAATCTTCGCCATCTCTTCCCTGAAAGAAAGGTGAGAATGTCCACATTACTTTGGAATGAAAATCGCAAAGAATTATACCATATGATAAGATGCATGTTGCACACCCAGCCTCCTTTGTGGCGTCAAGGTGTATACTCCATCCAGCTCACGCATCCAATCAGCTGTGGATATCAGCATCGTTGGCTTCCTGAGATCTATACAGTGGACACCAGCAACTGGATTATGGTCACATGGCTGCAGAAGACTCAGGCCTATAATCTCACCAAGTAGCTGCGTAGGACCCCCCAGAGCCCCCAATGGGAGGTACACAAAATGAGCTCGGTGGCGACGAATCACATCCTCTCGAGCAAGCACATTAATACACATATATTATATATGGGGGTTGTCTCAAACTTGGGGGCCAAATCTTTCGCACACAACAATCAAAACTATCAAGACTTGGACATGTTCTCATACATACCTGCCATATGCAGTTCATCGGTCCTCCAGAGGCTTGTAGTAGGGCAAGAGGCTATTTGCAGGCTGTTCTATTGTCCAGGCGATGCCCTTCTTGTGGCAATACTCGAGACTTAGTTGCGTTCATGTTTCAGCAAGACGCTGACCAAGAGAAATTTGAAATCGCACCAACGCAAGGGAAAAAACAAAGTGGATAGCAAAATCCAAGGAACAGATAGCACATCCGCCTCACTAGGCGGTTTGCCGCTTTGACCCCTTTCAGGGTCTTTCGGCCGCGAACCCTCAATCGGTTTCTCTTCGTCGAGTGCCTAGATAGCCACACCCAGCTCGAGCAAGGGCACCCTAGCCATACATGGCCTGCCCAGAAGTCACATTGTGGGTTTTCAAAAGTTTCAAAAATTCAGAATAACTCAAAGCAAAACATACATCCAGAACCATATCTATCTATCTGTATCTATCTATCTATCTATCTATCTATCTATCTGTCTATCTATCTGTACCTGTATCTATATCTATATCTGTATCTATGTGCCAGTCCTGTTTTCGACGCCATTCTGCGCAGGCATTGAAAGGCCACCAAAAGCCCGATAGCAGAGAGTAGATTGTGATGCCTGCTGTAGCTTACCTGGGGATGCAAGCAATCAAAAGCACAGAGACCGATGCAAAGTGATTGCAACCGATCCTCAAGCAAAAGTGCGTGGAATACCTATATGCCTTTAGCCGCATCAAACCAAGTATCATCCAAAGCTGTGGCACGCATGCCATACTCCCCAGCAGCATCCACCAAGCGGTGCGACCCAGCACAGATCTCGAGAAAATCTCAGCGGTTCTCTTGCGGTGTCTCCCCATAGCCTGAAGAAACAAATTCAAGAAAAACATGAAGCTGACGCGAAGTATCAAGCATACCAAACAGTTTTCCATCCTGTCTTACTTCATTTAATTCTGATCCAAGCAACTAGACAGCAAGAGGCCCACAATTGCAGCCAGCACGGAATACTTCATGGCTTCAATGCAGATTGGTGTAGAAGAAAGTCAAGAGTCAAATTGACAAATTATGTCTCTAATGTTGCTGTGAATTGTTATACATTGCTGATGCAATGGTTTGTTTGCATGTAAACCATTCTTGTTGTGTGTGACAGCTGCTCACCACTACTGGCTAGACGAGGCAGTACTGGTGGAAGCAGAAGACGAAGTTCCAGACCTGGAAGTGTGGCTCCTGCTGGCAGATTGCCTGATGACAGGTCGCCTGACAGCAGCCTTGGGACGGAGGAGTGAAGCTGGTGTGGCTTCAACAACTGGCGGTGCTACCCACTTACCCTCCACAAAATGAGTCACTTCGTCGGGGATACTACGCGGTGGAAGCAGCAAAACAGTTGGGGGGTATTTTGAAGTTACACCCATAGACGAATGCCACCTGGTACGTTGCTTGGGGTGAGATTCCACCGGTGGCCCCTGTTCCACAGCCCCAGCTTTTGCAGTAGGCTTTGGTTTCGGTCGAACTTGCAAGGCCTTAGATTTGGAAGGGGTTGCTTCTGGAGCACTCACTACTGAATCAGTTCCTTTTCCCTTGCCCTTGGTGTCCGCCCCTTTCCCCTTGTATTTGCACGAAGGGGCCAAGAATATCTTAGGGGGTGGAGGAGGAGGATCACCTGGCATGATGAGCCAAAATGCTTCACATATAATATATATGGGTGTTCGCTGGTGTTCCATTTGTATTTGAATAACCCTGCATGTATTCACTGGTGTTCCATTTTTATTTCAGTCGGCCCGACCCTGATTCTTTTTCCACTGACGAGCACGGAACGAAGTTGTTTAAATGTGTGTAGTTCACACAATTTTGATGTCGGAAATAAAGATTGGTGGTAGCCAGGATTTTAGATCCCCCATGCATTGGCCCATTAAAATCAACCTATGTTTGTTTTCTGAACATGTGCTGTAAAGAGTGTTTGTTCAGGGCCATGCGGGACCTGCAACCACAAGGCAGATGTTTTCTTCACATCTGAAAACCCCAGTCCAAAATAGGACCAAACCAGCTCCAAGCAAAACAATATCAAAAGTGTTGGTCATGTTTTGATGCTAAAAGAACCACATTGGACATATTATTTCACGATACCTTGCCTCATTTGTAGCGCCTGCGCTTTCGCTCGTTTTCCGGCATGTCCTTCAGGATGGCCGCTCTCTCCTGGGACGTCAGCCAGTCTGCTTCCATCTTCGGCTTCCATCCTTTGACACGTTCGTACCTTGGCATCAGGGATGATGGCTAATGAGGTTCACATTGAAGTGCAATGGCATGGGACTGCGTTGAGGTTGACATCCAAGCGCAATAGAATGGGACTAATTAGTTTGGCAGTTGTGGCTGGCATCCAAGTGCAATGGAATGGGATTGATGGGAAACAATGAATCTAACATCAGACTAGGTTCTTTGCTGCAAACGCTTTCTTCGCAACACCGTACTCGGTATCGGTACGTGCTTTCTTCGGCTTGGCATCGATGATTTCAGACTTCTTCTTGCTTTGATTCTTTGACTTGGCTTTGCCAGATTCCGTTTTTTCCTTCTTGACCTTTGCTGCCCTTGCTTTCGATGCCACTTTGGCTTCGGGCTCGCCTTCCTCCTCATCCTTCTTGCCCTTGTGTTGCATTCATTGTGGTTTGATCGAAATTGTAACCAATGCAAAAACTTCCACAAGTTGGAACAGATATGATAAACTAAGTATATTATATATGTATGTATGTATGTATGTACGTATGTATGTATGTTTGTATGTATGTATGTATGTATGCATGTATGTATGTATGTATGTATGTATGTGTGTATGTGTGTATGTATGTATGTATGTATGTATGTATGTATGTATGTATGTGTGTATGTATGTATGTATGTATGTATGTATGTATGTATGTATGTATGTATGTATGTATGTATGTATGTATGTATGTATGTATATAAATATCTACATGCATAGTTGCATGATGTTGCATGTATGTCATGTATGCACCTGGCCTTTTTGTCCTCGCGCGCTGCAGCAGCTGCACGCTTGCTGGCTGCCAGTTGGATCTTTGCATAGGGCGTCACAGCTGGGTAGCTCTTTGGCCTGGAAGGAGGTGTAGTCAGCTCACAATCGACCTGAAGGGCAGCGATGTATGTAAAGACAGAGTGCTGATCTATGGACTTTCTTGGACATTTGCGGTGAATAAAAAACACCAATTCACCTTCTTCAGCATCTTCAGATTCGCTTCAAGTTCGTCAAGGATGGCTTCTGGATCCTCTGGAAGGTCCGTCTTGTCCTGACAGAAATCGACCATTTTTGAAGTAAAGAACGATATGAGTTAAATCACAATAAAAGATCATAAACATGAAGCTGCCTGGCCAAGGGGAGCTTCATCATGGCACTCATCCAAGGTGAGCGTCTTCTTCCTCAAGATAGCATCCTGCAGGGACGCTCGATGACGCTCGTTTGCAAGAGTAGGTGAGCCAAAAAAAGAAGAGTTCTCTTGCAAACATGGTTTGAGATTCTGAAGGTTGGCAAATATGTGAAAACTCAATAAAACATCCCCGGCCGGTGATAGCCTATAGAATGTGGATCTTTTACAATTATGAAATGGTTTTCCGGACAGCCATTATATAGGAAGGATGGTTGGGGTGCACTGTGGTCTCCTTTTGCAAGAGTTGGGTTCATCATTTTATAAGGCCCGCACTGCCTACTTGCAAACTCTTCCTTTTTCAAGCATAAACTTTTGCAAAGAAAATCCCTTCACTTTATAGGTGCCAAACGGTTTGGTGAATCAAATCTTATTATAGACACCCCGCTGACCTTTGCAAAGAAATTGTCCTCATTTTATAGGTATATGGTTGTGCTAAGTAGAGCATGGTGCACCATTTTTTGTAATACTAAATTCTATTGATATATATTTTTTTTTTAATATTTATATTTATGTTGAACATTTGTTGGTTTTGATGTTTTCAAAGAATGTTTGATTTATTTTGAGACGTCATGGGTTGACAAGAATGGGGGGGCAGGGGGATCACCAAAAAAAACATTAAAACAAATTCAAAACATTTTGAAACCCACACTGGCACCTATAAAATGCCTTGCAAAGCTTGTACAGACCGCATTTAGTGTTCAACCAATTTTCCTTTCTTTACCTTTGTCCCAAGACTTTGGAAAAATTACATTATTAGAGTATATTAGAATCAATATTCTGACATGTTATCTGACATTTTCTCTGAGACATATTTTGACATTTCTATCTGGCATCTTCTGTAGCATAAAAAATACATATAAAATAAGCATATTGCAGCACATATTCAAATTCACGAAAAAATGAAGTTTTTTCATTTAATGGTATTGCTAATGGTATATGATCTATAATATTTGAAATATTTATAATATATATTTCTTCACTTTGATTATATTCAACATTGATAATATATATGTTCTACAATATTAATTCTTCAGGTACAACATTTGTCTTAATTTGTTGTATAGATATTTTTTAACTCACAATTAAACATATTATAAGAATACACATATCAAAAAGTAAAGAGCCCATAAAATATCATTTTTAATTTTCAAACGTTACAAAAGTACCTTTTCCTGTTTACGCATTTAAATATGACATGCTTCACTTTCTTGTTGCGGCTTTTCCGCTGTGTCTCTCCCCTATAGCCTTCCCCCTTGGGGCCTTTCCGGGTCGAAGTCCTCGAGCCGCTGGGGCTTCCCCCTTCTTGTGTTACCCGACAGAAAAGAGGCAATGACAGGGTTTTGGTAGCCTGCTTTTTTTTAAGTATTTCTTATTAAGCTGCAAAGGCGAGAACTTTTCGATGCCATGAAAGTAAGAAAGCAAAAATTGGCACAAAACTTGTACAGTGTGTTACAGACCGCAGAGTGAATGCTGCACACCCAAGCTACCACCTATAAAATGCCATGCAAAGCTTGTACAGACCGCAGAGTGAATGCTGCACACCCAAGCTACCACCTATAAAATGCCATGCAAAGCTTGTACAGACCGCAGAGTGAATGCTGCACACCCACACTGCCACCTATAAAATGCCATGCAAAGCTTGTACAGACCGCAGAGTGAATGCTGCACACCCAAGCTACCCCCTATAAAATGCCATGCAAAAGCTTGTACAGACCGCAGAGTGAATGCTGCAGACCCAAACTGCCACCTATAAAATGCCATGCAAAGCTTGTACAGACCGCAGAGTGAATGCTGCACACCCAAGCTACCACCTATAAAATGCCATGCAAAGCTTGTACAGACCGCAGAGTGAATGCTGCACACCCAAGCTACCTCCTATAAAATGCCATGCAAAGCTTGTACAGACCGCAGAGTGAATGCTGCACACCCAAGCTACCACCTATAAAATGCCATGCAAAGCTTGTACAGACCGCAGAGTGAATGCTGCACACCCAAGCTACCACCTATAAAATGCCATGCAAAGCTTGTACAGACCGCAGAGTGAATGCTGCACACCCAAGCTACCACCTATAAAATGCCATGCAAAGCTTGTACAAACCGCAGAGTGAATGCTGCACACCCAAGCTACCACCTATAAAATGCCATGCAAAGCTTGTACAGACCGCAGAGTGAATGCTGCACACCCAAGCTACCACCTATAAAATGCCATGCAAAAGCTTGTACAGACCGCAGAGTGAATGCTGCACACCCAAGCTACCACCTATAAAATGCCATGCAAAGCTTGTACAGACCGCAGAGTGGGGGGTACAATTGCTGCACACCCAAGCTACCACCTATAAAATGCCATGCAAAGCTTGTACAGACCGCAGAGTGAATGCTGCACACCCAAGCTACCACCTATAAAATGCCATGCAAAGCTTGTACAGACCGCAGAGTGAATGCTGCACACCCAAGCTACCACCTATAAAATGCCATGTAAAAGCTTGTACAGACCGCAGAGTGAATGCTGCAGACCCAAGCTACCACCTATAAAATGCCATGCAAAGCTTGTACAGACCGCAGAGTGAATGCTGCACACCCAAGCTACCACCTATAAAATGCCATGCAAAGCTTGTACAGACCGCAGAGTGAATGCTGCACACCCAAACTGCCACCTATAAAATGCCATGCAAAGCTTGTACAGGACGCAGAGTATTACAGGAGCTATTTCATAATGTTCCTAATTCCATTTTATAGGTGACTTGTTGGGCGTTTGTCTTACATCCCAACTACCCCCTCCAACTTGAGCAGTAACATTTTATAGACTATATTTTTGCTGTGGTCAATATCACTGTTAACCTTTGCAAAAGAAGTTGGGTCATAATATAGGAAGGTATGTGTTCATGATGGTTTTGCTTTGCACCTCATTTCATAGAGAGAATGTATGGGTCTACACCTTAGCTTTTCATTTTATAGAGCTATTTTTCCTATAGAATGAGGGGGGCAAAGGTCCCTAGGCAACACTAAGGGAGGCACCTCATTTCATAGAGAGAATGTATGGGTCTACACCTTAGCTTTTCATTTTATAGAGCTATTTTTCCTATAGAATGAGGGGGGCAAAGGTCCCTAGGCAACACTAAGGGAGGATAATAAAACAACTTCTGAGTTATTCATGACAAACTATAAATATATTTGTCCATTTTGGACCATACTTTAGTGGCAAGGCTCAGGATCGTCATCTTCATTGTCAGAGCTGGGCTGCTCATCATCCACATCTCCTGCAAATGAGTTCCAATGATATATAAATTACCGTCGAGCTATTATACCGAAAAAAATACTGCATGTTCTGAAGAGACATCAAGTGGTCCTTGGGAGTAGGGAATGGGTTCAGCGATTTCATCGTATACATCACCTTGGTTCCACAAGTTGATCTGATGCGATTTCAATGAAAATGTTTTGCATCAAGATTTGCATACTTAAGGTTGCACTTCTTTGGGTTTGGATTCCTTAAGTTGCAGACCGTCTGCATCCATGAACTCAGGGTGAAGATCCTTCGCTACTTCGACATCCTTATCATCAGAAGCACCTCAGGTGGCATGCAGTGACGAAATCAACAAAACAAGTCGGCTGTTTCTTTTCTTAAAAAAAAGTAGGGACCAGCCAAGTCACTGCTGGACCAGTTGCAATGGGCCGAACAAGGTTCTCCATTGACTGCTTGCTGGCACCACTTCCACATTTTGGAATCCCATTCATCACCTCGGTCCATTTGTTTTGATAGAACGTTTGGTTAGGATTGAAAACAAGAAAGCTGCATGCACCAAGTTGAACCAAGCCACCATCACCTGGCCAAGATTCCCACAAATCATCACATTGCGAAGTCCATTCGGTAGACTCAAGTTGCTCGAACAAAGTAGGGTCGAAGTCTTCACCCAAAGCATAGTCAAAGATACTGGGTTCCCATGGTGCACCATCATCCCATGCATCCCAAGACGGGAAGTCAGGAATGAAATCATCATGCAACTCATCCTCAGAAACAAAAACACGATGGCAAGATCTGAGGTATAGTAATTGGATTGGCAATCGCATGCCTTTCGATATGCGCTGGCGAGATGCTTCTGCAGCAGCTTGGGAATCTTGGACATCTGGGCCATCGGCTGCCTCATGATGAATGATGCTTGGGAAGTTCAAAGCGCACACAGCTAACATTTAAGGTAGGTTCAGAGTGCACGCAACTAACATGTAATATAAACATATATAAACCAAATGAATGCACAGTACACACAACATCACACAACTATATATAGCATGTAATGTGTAGCAAACGAATTCAGAGCCAAGTCGCTTCCAAAGATTTGCCCTCTCCATCCTTCCAACTGATTGGAATTGATTTGAACTATATACTTGGACTATCTTGGACTGCGGTGCATTTGGTGACATACATGAGTCCTGCTTTCCATTCTTTTTCGGGATGAAGGTTGGCGGTGGCATATCAGAAACCTGAACCACAAAAGGAAATCCATGAATTTACGCACAAAAACTGTTGAAATTTGTTGGAATCAGAAATCCATGAATTGACACAGAAAAATACTGTTGAAATTTGTTGGAATTAAAATGAGTAAATGCAGCTGAGACGCCTGATCAACATGATCTTTCCTGATCGGGCAGAAGCAGTATACTGACTGCATGCAAACAACTGCAAATAGGAAATCGAACACAAACGGTCCATGCGAGCATTCGCATTCAAATTTGCATCCAAGGCACTGGTGATCTTCATCCGCCTGAGCATCAAAGTTCATCCAAGGCTCCTGCACACAGTGGGTTCAGGTGGACAATGAAAAGAATGGCCAACATTGGCAAACATTAAACATAAAGAAACATGAGAAATCATGAGATGCAAGCCTCTCCAAACTCCATCGGTAATGTGTCCATGGTGTCCGGGTTAATCGCCATGGCTTTCACTGGTGCCTGTAAATGCCTTTTTCGAGCCACTTGAAGCAGAGATCGGAGACGGGCCGCTTCATCTTTTGGCACATGCACATCCAAACCAAAATGAGACCGAAGTTCCATACAAACTTGTTTTGCAAGTGCCCCAGTGAAAATGCGACCTTTCCCGATAAACTTGGAAGTCCATCCACCAAACAGGGCCCGAAGTCTCTTTTGCTTCAAGGAACCAAGTGGGTAAAGTCTGTTGGTGGAATGCATTCGGGTCAGTTCAGGCTCATTATTAAGCCTTTTCACCAGTCGCTTCACAACCAGGTGGACATGCCGAGCTCTGGCTACTCTTTGCTGCACACCACGGCAAGGCATGGCTAGCGCTACCAGATCTGGTGCTAATGGATAGATAGATATATATATATATGTAGACATATGTCGAATTATTTCCTTACTTACATATTAGTTTGGTTTAACTTTGTTGGTATCTACATATGTGGTTTCTTGCCAAATACCTGGTATTAGTTTGGGGGTCCCTGGAACTTACAATTGCTTGAGCTAGAAAATCTGAGGATTAAAAAAACACGACAGGCAATTTGCGACCATGGATTCCTGTCCCAATCTGCAGGCCTCCAAACGCAAGAAGCAGCACTCCACTGGCTATCCGAAAAAACATCGCAGCGCCGCGGAGGGTGGCATTTGTAGATGTGTATGTATGTGTGTTTGTTTTTATCTATGATCATGTATGTGTTTTTGCGTCTATGTACCTATACTGTACCTATGTACATGATTGTACATGTATGATTTATGATCATGTATGTGTTTTTGCATCTATGTACCTATGCAGTGTGCACGTATATATATGTTTATATATATATGTATATATATATGTAGGTTTTTGAAGGTTTGTTTGTTTCTTTGTTTGTGTGTAAGTAGTGGTTGCTTGGCATGGGTCCCCAAATGAAATCCCTCTTTTTGGAAGGTCATTTCATGTTATTATCTTTGAATGACAGCACACCATTGTGAGCCGGGCAAGGCGACCAAAAAATCCGAGCGGTAAGTTAAAGGAATTCCACTTGTTTAATCTTAATACCTTTTGCTTACACATTCCCCTACTGCATGTGCAGTCACTTAAAACACAATAAGTAGATCTTACAAATCCCACAAAAATTGATAAAGATAGCTAAATCATCCACACAGGCCTTTACACAAGGCCAGAGTGAAGTGAAAAACATGCAGCAATGGCATGCACCTTTTTGGGCATTTTTTGACTGCATCCTATGCTTCCATGCCAGCATCCTATGCGACAATGTGGGTGTAGCAGCCTATCCTTCCTTTCAACCTCTGTTGGTTTCCGATCGCGTGCCCCCATGAAGACCTGTTCTCTGGCTTCGGTGTCAAGTTGCGAGCCGCGGCAATTCTTCCGAGCATGTCACTGTGTTGGTGCGGGCAGAAGATGACGAAGCCAGGATCGTTGAGATGGGCACGGGGGATGACAAGGTAGGTCGTCATGCTGCAGTATGCCGCAGTATGAGAAGGTGGTGGCAGTGGAGGCGCAGTCTCCCAAGCATGTCCGGGTGGAGGCCTTTTGCCAATTGCAGCAGGCCATTCGCTTCAACATGTGCGACGGCAATGTGCATCTTGTGATCGGCAAGGTGACGGCGGAAGACGATGGCTCCGACATGGTTCTGGTTACAGAAAGAGTCTTCAAATTGCAAACGGAGGAACAGGTGCAAGCGGTCATGGCCGAGCGTGCCAGCATCGCAGCTGTGCAGATGATTTCTTCGAAAAAAAGACACGCCGTCGACTTGGTTGAGGAAACACCCTTGAAAGTGAAGAGTGCCAAGTGGTAGTTTTTTTGAGTTGCAAAATCATTACTGACGGTGATGCTATAGGAACTGTCCGTGCATCACGCAGCGTGATTCTTTGCGCACTGCGCTTTTTTGATCTCATTGTCGCAGCGTGGTAGTTCTCGACCTTCTCACAGTGATAGGGACTGTCCGTGCTGTGGAGGGTCGCAGAGAGTGTGTTGCGTCCTGAAAAATGCGTCGACGCACCTCTATTTGAAAGGATGTCATCCACAGCATCATGGCATTCCACCGCATCATGGCACCACTTTTGTAGAAATGTTATAAATCAGTGAGATAACATGTGTCATGTACAGCCTCATGGTACCGAGCTTTATTGGCGATTTGAGTGGAAATTTCCATCATAAAATGAGAGAACAAGTGTGATCTGCAACATCATGGTACCGAGCTTTTTTGGCAATTGCGCATGGGTTTGCCATTGAGTTTTCCATGCTTGTTGCATTTCCAGCTTAAATGTCAGCACTTTTTGCTTTTTGTCATTGCCGTGTCCCTCGTTCCCTGCCTTTCCGTGTAAGATGGAGCTGGCAAGGAGCAAGGCCGCTGAGGCCGAGGAAATGTCCCCCAAAGCAGGCAGCTGCCAGCCTCAGCATGGGCATGACAGAATTGGTCAGAAAGATTGCAGACCTTGTGCGGTACTACTGGTGTATACAAGTTGTTCTTTAAAAAAATATGCCGGCAAGAGACCCCAAACAGTGTGGGGGAGTGAAAGGATAGTGTAGTATAATGTTGATGATATTTGATGATGGTTTTAATTTGTAATTTATTGTATTTAATGTTGATGATGATGGTGATGAAGATGAGTATGCTGATGATGATGATGATTGATGATGGTGATGGTGATGATGATGAGGATGATGATGATGATGATGATGGTATTGATGATGATGATGATAGTGGTGGTGGTGATGACGACGACGATGATGATGATGATGAGAGGAAGATAATGATGCTGATGTGCAGGCGGGGGACGATAATAATGTTGACGAGGATGATTTTGAGGAGGAAGACCGATCCCAAGACCGGGAAGTACATTTTGTGCGACCCGGCGCAGGCGACATGCGCAGGAACATTTTACAAGAGCCATTTGATATGGAAACTTACAAGAAAAATGACCGCGGAGACCTCCGAGGACATTGTTTTGGGCGAGCCTGCGCAGGCGAAATACTTCTAAAGATTGCATAAGAGGCATTTTGCATGGACATATTTAAGCAAAATGACCGTGAAAACTTCCAGCAACATTATTTTGTGGGAACCTGCGCCATCGAAACGCATATTGACACATTACAAGAACTATTTTCTGTGGAAATTTAAGGGAAAAAAGCCGGACGCTGCCGATGCCCCTTCGATTGAACACCGGGCCTCAACACTT